TTTTTTTCTTCCTTCCTCTAATTAGTTCCTATTAAAAAGCCCCAAAAGCCCAACTGATCCTTGCCTCAACCTCAACTATCTTTTTCATTCTTTTGTTCCTCATGCAGAGGCGTTAGTCTCTTTGACTGGTCTAGGTCCTTCCACCATTCATTGTTCATATTCAGTTTTTGTTACACTTACTCAGTATTCAGGCCAATGATACTATATTTGATCATACTCTAGAATACTGATCACTGTGTAAAAATGCCAAGACAATGATAAAAGCCGGGAAAAGAAAATGTAGAATCTGAATTTTGGTCTCAGGATGACATTTCTTCCTTTAGAATACTCTTGCAATTAATTTTCTTTCCAGACATCAGGCTTTCCTCCTTTCTGCTTTTATTTAGATAAAGCAATACAGCTGTTTCAATAATCTTCCGATGAAGTGACAGTTCTAGGAATGTATTGTAAGAGGAAAATTAGGGGATCCTTTCAGAACTTGGACCAAGAGCGAGATGCCCTTTTTCATCTCCCAGCCCAGAAGACCCTAGCGTCAATCTTAGTTTTGATTTGTGGTTTAGTAAAGTGAACTTCAGGAAACGCTGCTAAGTGATGGCATAACTGAAAGTCATAAGATAAAAAATTCCATGGCAACAGAGGAAATTAGATCTTATTCTAATTTTACATATTTTAAATTATAATTATTAAAGCAAGAAAGTGTCTGACTGGAGAGGTTTTCAATTATAATGGAAGGCATGAGGACTGTTCAGCTTTGCTATTTTATTCAGAGAATCAAAGTTGCGTCCCCCTTCCATGTACATTGCCACCTGCCTGTTCAACGTTGGAAGAGACTTACTCCCCCACTTTGCTTGCCTTCACTCCTGTTTTGGGTTGCATGCGTTTATCCCAGTTAGATGTTTGTATCAAGTAATTTTTTACTATATAAACTGATATAAATGGGAAGGTTTAGTAGATCAAAACACTTCATTCTGCAAGATACCTACTAGGTCTCTAGAGCATGAGGAGTTTTATTCCTCATCAAATCACCAAGTTTTTGTTAACTGTGAAGGATGGGTGACAACAACTGGTAAACCTTTTGCATGTTTGTTTTAGTTAGAAGGCTGGCAAGGGCCTCTTTGACTAAATTAGAGGTAAGTAAGTTGTAGGGAAAAGTGAATAAATGTTGAAGTGAAAGATTAAGCATGCAATTGCATTGACATTTTAATTCTTTCTGGTGTGTATGTTTGAAGGAAACCTGTTGCTGACACCTGCATCCAATGCATGGGTTTGCGCTGCAGAGCAGGCTCAGTGTGCGCAGCCCGAGGTCCTTGTGGATGAAGCCACTCAGCTGATGTGTTCCAGGAGCCCGACCGATGTCCTCCAGCCACTAGTGGGCAGGTGCTATGGGGGGGAAGTACGGGAAGAAGACTTTTCCTGTGGCTGGTGGTATCTTGAAGAACTCTCTAGAAAGGTGATAGGGAACACAACTGAATCCTGAAAAGGCTGTGGAGATTCTACAGGCATCTGTATTTTCTGCCTTTTAAAATTTGGTATCATCAGTTCTGTACAGCAGGGAGAGGAAAACAGGTGCCCTGCTTTATTGAAGGAAAAGGAATGGCTTGGGGTTTATCAACTCTTCAGCAGGATTTTGGCCACTTCAGACCACCTATATTATCCTCTAAGCGCCAAGCCAAAAATCATCACAACTAATTGTATGTGATGAGGCTTTTAAGTGAATATTTAAACACAGCTTGGTTTTAAAAAGTCCTGAGTCCCTAGAAGAGCCCGTTGACTTGAAGTTAAAGAAGACCAGACCCTTAATTTGCCCTTTGTGTCAATAGGTAGTACTGTACAAAACTGAAATACAGACACTGAATGCAGAGCCACAGATGGTTTTGGACATCTAGCTCCCACAAACTATTTCAGCAAGAATCAGGTATCTAAACACCTTTGAGGATTTTGGCTGTAGAAACTTCAAACATTATACTTGTAGTTTTGTAAGTCTTGGTCATGTGTCTTGAAATTATTGTTACTGCCTGTGGTCAAAGTGATTTTTGTCATGTTAATTTAAGTGGGAAAGCAGCAGTAAGTGGGGGAAAAGTGCCCACAGATGCCTGCTTGAGGAAACTAAAGGGACAGAATTATGGAAGGAAGCATACACTGGGATGGGAGCTGGCCTTTGATGTAAGTGCCACCTATGTAAATGCCAAAGGATCTATAGTGTTAGTATTGGGTTTTCTGTTTGTTCCCAGATTTACCTATACTGCCTTTGTTTGAAATGGGAAAGACTGATCAGCAGTTTCCCATATTTCAGGAGTGCCAAAGTGATTTATACCAGCTGAGGAATCAAACACAAAGCTGTTCCATGGAAAACCATTTGTCAGGTGCTCTGTAAAACTAGGATTTTGAATTTTTTATGCAGCTTTGGGTCATGTTTATTTTGCACAAACTGTCTTACTGTTTTTTTTAGCTAGTGCTTATAACTTTAAGGTCAACTGTACAATCCTATATTGAATGGATATAAAAGGTGTAACTAATCAAATGTGGCAGTGTTGTGCACCAGAGAAATGTTTTTAGCGCTTTAAGTCAAACATGCTCATGATTTTTTTTTCATGTGAATTGGCTGAATGCTATGAATTATAAATTTAGGCTTTAAATATTGATTCTGCTAACTGGTTAAAATGAGAGCAGTTAGAGCAAATACAGTTATATCCATTTTAGAGTATATTTATTATTCTAGTATTCTAAGAAACTGAGGAAACTAAAGACAAAAATTTGTTTCAGCTGTTGTGTGTGCAGTACAAATTCTGTAATTACAGAAAAGAGGTTGGCATTACTCTGCTTAAAAGAAAAATTCAGATGATGTTTGATTAAATGACTGAGAGAAAATAAATAGCATTTCAGAACTTATGCAGTTAGGATGAAGAATTTATTGTATATACATTAAGCAACTCTACTGTAGATGTACTTCCCCTTTAAAGAAAATGGATACAGTAATCAAAATAGTTCTAGCATGGAAACTACAATACAGACTGAAACTTGACTAAAACAGAAATTAGTTATTTGACTTGAAAGAACACAGAACCTGAAACAACAGATTGCAGGTTGCATCATTAACCAAGGACAGTAAAAAACTGTACAATACAAGCAACACGTTACAATAAGTTATGACCAATAAGGCAGTCTTTCTGATTTAGGACAAAAGGGATGAAGGGAAAGGTATTAAAATCTCATAAATCCACCATATCTCTTTTCCATCTCTGGGACCTCTTTGGAATAAGTTTCCCCATCTTCTTCTGAAGGGAGAATGGAGTCAGCGAAGCGCTTAAGAAACCCACCGTATCGTTTCTGGTAATCCAGCCACCATTCTGGCCTGCCCACTCTTCTCATGAAACCACCGTATCTCTTTTGCAGCTCTTTGGCTTCATCTTCCAATTCGGGGCTGCGCTTTACGCTTCTCATGAAGCCTCCATATCTTTTGCTGACGTCCCCGTCGTTTTCATTTATCTCTCGGTAATGCCCTGCTTCAGGATTATTCCCTGTTCCTAGAAGCTCCTTCAGCAGATCAGAGGAATTAGCAAGGGTATCGTCGTCCGAGTCTTTCTTCATAAACCCTCCATACCTCTTAGCCAGGATTTCTCCTCTGTTAGCTTCGTCCTCCGGTTCTACCCGATAGAGCTCATCCATCTTCTTCATGAACCCCCCGTATCTTTTCATGAAGCCTCCATACTTCTTTGCAAGCAAATGGTTTTCATCCAGCTCTTTCTTGTCTCCTGGAGCAATGTTGCCATCCTCAGAAAGATCCAGCTTTGCCAGTTGCAAGAGCTCCTTGCAGGTCTCCCAGGCTTTGGCAGAAGGCAGCTTTCCTTCACACTCTAGTGTGCATGCCTGAAAAATGGATGTGGTTTACTGAGAACTATTCGAGATCAGCAAGCACCTCGCTGCCACTTTGTCTTAGCTTTACTTGTTTTTAAAAGACCACGAGTGAGCCTCTCTTTGTGAGCGGCTTGGAAGGACTGCTCTTTGTGAACAGCTGATTTCCTTACTGTCTGTTCTGAAGTTCTTCATATCCCTCTCTGAAGGACATGCATTCTAAAGGAGAATATCCATTCTAAGAGACAGAATACTGGACAAGATGGATCAAGGATCCTGTATGTCAAGGTGCCCCTATGTTTCTGTTTCAAAGGAAGCCACATGTACCATTCCTGCACCTCCCTTACGCTCAGGTGCATTGTTATGATCTTTTTTTTTTATTTATTTACTACTGGGAAGCTAAAAACCAATTGTGGTTGGCTTCATAATGAAAGTGTAGAAGTGTATTTGATCTTCATAATTAAAAGTAACATTCAGGAATTTTAGGAAAGAAGTTACATGGCATTGTCATTGCAAAGAAGCCATCTGTACTGTACTGCTCAGTATCTGCAACACACTGCACAGCTCTAAAGCTATATTTCTGTCTGTTGCCTTTAGTTTCTCTTTGTGGAACAGATCTTTCAAATGTGTGCCAATTCAAATGTAGAAATACAGGCTCTCTTAGGCAGGATCAAACTTCTGGTTTTGCTAGTTTGACATACAAAGTAGTGACAATCGGAAAGAGAAGAAAAATTCCTAAGCTGTTTTGCTTCTGACTGTAATGAAAAATTTTCAGGCTAAGACATAAAAAAAGTTTTCAATACCTGTATGCATATCTCGTAACCTGTCATGTAAAGATAATAATATACATATTAGCTACTACTATCTCTGTTGTGTGAGGGAAATGTACTTCTTGTGAAGCCACACTCTTCAGTTGGGAAAAAAAGTGAATCCAGTGGTTTTCTTCCTTGCCTATGGTTTTTATACCACAACAATGAAACAAGAAATCATCAATATTTTCAGTAAGAGAAACACTTATTCTGCCTACAGATTATGTTTTCTAGCGATCTGGATATGCTTTAAAAATGCAAAGTTAAACCACAGCACCATTTTCTCTAATAGCTAACTGACCAGCTCTCTACCTCTGGCCTTACCTGTCTGTTGAGCCCCATTTTAGTCTGATAAATTTATATATGGTTTTTGATATGACCAAAAGACAACTAAAGTGATTTATGAATTTTGCAACAATAATTTATCTATTTTAAATGGCACTACATGCTTGTTGTTATATTTACAGTTATGCCGAAAAGAGAATGTGATCTCAGCTTCAGTCTGACTTTGAAATTGCTCTAAATCAAAGCAAGCATAGATCATTCCCTTCCTCCTCCCTTCTCAATTAGTTTAAATAATGCCCTAGAGTCAAATCAACACATGCTATCTCATAGGTGTGAATGACCAGGTACAATGTGATAAAACTTGTATCTTACAAGATACAATGAGATAAAATTCAGTGATGTTACTAGAAACATTTGTTTCTCAAAGCTATTTGTACGTGTATGAGGAATATATGGTCCCGCACATTGCTTATTTTCCCATTTCAACTAGTAAGTGTTGTTACAGAATGAGGCTTTGATTCTTTCTTGAATAAATACTGAAGGTGTACAAAAGAGAATATCAATAGAGACACCCACAACATACACTCCAAAAAGCATGCATCCCTCCCTCCAAGAGAGCAAACTACCACTTTTTTCCCTAGCTGACATTAAAGCTAAAGTTTGATTGAAAGCTAATGTAAGCGAAAAACTGTTTTGCCAGCCCTCCTAAGAATATTGCCCTTATGAACCTGCTGTGGCTAAGAGTGAGTCCTTGCTTTTGGAGTAAGCAGAAGTACTCAGTGATTCCTAATTCTGCGTAAGAAGAGGGTCCAATCCTTCCTTTTGCTTGCTCCCAAATAATCGATGACTTCTTAGGAACAAAACTTTTCAGATCATTCAGACGTGCTGAGAACATGATGCCTCAATACACATTTATTTGAGGTCAGGAACCGCAGGTGCCAATGGCAAAGGGCTTGGCAGCAGCCTGAGCTCCCAGCTTCAGGGAGGGCCGAGGGACCCCAGACTTTCACTGACCCCGACCCTTAAATTTCAAGTTGAGTTGCCTCTGTGACTATACTTTTAAATAATTTCAATATCATTAAAATTACAGATACATCCTCCCCTCCACCCCCCCGCATTCTGGAGTTGTCTTAGCATGATTTGTCTCGGGAGACAGCGGCAAAGGCATCTTTCACAGGCATATTCCTACCGCTGGGCAGCACCGTACAAAGAGGAAGATCGGCGGGAGGCATTGCTACTCTAACCAAGCTCGAACCCCGCTTTTTGTGAGATTTCAGGCACGTCCACCGCTTTGCAGCTCGACAGCCATCCTGCCTGGAGAGAGCCCACCCTGCCGGGGAGCCTGCGCCCGGGGTCGGGACCCTCCACCCCTCCGGCTTTCCCCGGCCCCACCGACCACCTTTCCCTGCAGAGCTGCCCTCTCCGGCCACCTTTCCCTTTCCCTTTACGTTTTCACTTGGCTTTT